ACTTTTATATGACCAATATTACGTTCCGCTAAAAACTAAAAACTAAACTATAATGAAGTAAAGCAACTACCTCTATCAGAAATAATTCTGCGTGGCCTACTATAAAATTAGAAATATTTACTTAAACTCGCAATTACTTCACGTCTACTTGAAGAATTTACAGGGTATAACTTCCCAAGCTTTGTAAATGAGTCAGTTACTACTAATAAATGTTTCCTTTTTGAATTTAAAATGATCTATGTGAATCGAATCAAATGGAATCGGCACTTTGGGTATACTGTGTAAAATTCTATTGTTAACTGACTTTGGGACAGAATGTAAAATACACTTCAAACAATTTCGAATCAATTCATCTATTTTCGATCTCATTAAAGGAAACCAATATCAAAAAAAAACTTTTCACTGCTCCTTCTGCTAACTCGTCTCGTACTTATACCCGTTACTCGTAGAGTAAAAGGGTATACCAGATTCGTCGGAAAGTATGTAACAGGCAGAAGGAAGCGTTTCCGACCCCATAGTGTATATATATTCTTGATCAGGATCACTAGCCGAGTCGATCTAGCCATGTCCGTCTGTCCGTCTGTCCGTATGAACGCTGAGATCTCGGAAACTATGAGAGTTACAATACTGGGATTAGGCACGCAGATTCCTGAGATTCCTGCGCAGCGCAAGTTTGTTTCAGTAGAGTGCCACGCCCACTCTAACGCCCACAAACCGCCCAAAACTGTGGCTCCTACAGTTTTGATGCTAGAACAAAAATTTTAACTGAAATGTAATGTTCTCATCAATACCTATCGATTGATCTAAAAAAAAGTTTGCCACGCCCACTTTAACGCCCACAAACCGCGAAAACCTGTGACGCCCACAATTTTTTATGCTAGATAAAAAATTTTAACTGAAATGTATTCGTCTCGTCATTACCTATCGATTGATCCAAAAAAAAATCCAAAAAATTTGACACGCCCACTCTAACGCCCATAACGCTTAAATCTGTATACCGCCGGTAGGTGGCGCATTTTAATCTCGCTCTGCTACTTGCATATCTCTATTTAGCTGAGTAACGGGTATCTGATAGCGTTCTTCCTTGTTTACTTATAACTTCATCCCTCATTTGCTCCGTTTGCAATAGAAAGTCAATATCATCTGGCATAGCTCCCACCGTGCAAACTAAATTAACCAATTCCACTTCTTTTTGTAATTCCGATAAATTTCCAAATACCACAAGCCTTGAATTTTCTAAAGCCTTGAACTCTGCTACTTCTGATGACCCTGACGATTCTACTAATTCTGACTTTTCTGACAACTCTGGCGATTCTAGTAATTCTGAATTTTCTGACGATTCTATTAATTCTGACGACTCTGACGATTCTACTAATTCTGACTTTTCTGACGACTCTGACGATTCTACAAATTCTGACTTTTCCGACGATTCTAATAATTCTGAAGACTCTGGAACTACACACGGTTCTTCCATTACCCTTTCTACCTTATTGCTTAACAATTCCGTTTGCCTACTTAAAGCATCAACATGCGGCATACTTTCGCCAGGACGGTGCTCAATTTTATATTTGTAGTTTTCTAGTTCCAACGACCAACGAGCAATACGGGGATTGATAGTCTTTTTGCTTAATGTTTGTGCTAATGAATGGCAAGCGTAAATAATCGCAAGTGTCTCGAGCGCGAAAGTGTGGTACCTTGATTCGGCTGCCGAAGCCCTTAATGAATAATAAAAGTCTGGATGCATTTTGCCATCGTTCTGTTTCTGCAAAAAACTGCTCCAAAACCTCGAGAACTGGCGTCAGTATGTAATTCCGTTTCACGATTAGGGTTAAATATTGAAAGTATTGGCGGAGTTGATAGACGATTTCTTATGTCCTTAAAAACTTTCATTTGTTCTTCATCCATTAGGAACGGGCCTCCTTTCTTTAATAGTTCAACTAATGGTCGGGCCATACTTGCATAAGACGAAAGAAATCTACGAAAATATGAAAACATACCTAAACAAGAGTGAAGTTGTTTTGTATTATTCGGAACAGGATAACTTTTTATAACTTTCATATGCGAATCATTAGGCAAAATTACCTTTCTCAAAAAAAAGCTCTTCTTAAAATTGATTTCTAAATGAAATTTTGCTAATCGTTCCAGCAATTGTACCAAGATTTCAAAGTGTTCCACTTCTGTTCTTGTAGCTACTACTATATCGTCCATGTAAACAACAATTTTTCGATTTCTAACCAAGTCCATCAGACTGTTAGAAATAAATCGCTAAAATACTGACGGCCCATTTCGCAATCCAAATGGCATTTGTATATACTCAAACTGTCCTTGTGGCGTTACAAACGCTATATACTTTATAGAACTTTCTTCAACACCGACCATCAATCAATAATCGAAAAGCAATTTTTTCCCTCTAAATACTCAAGACAATCTTATATTAAAGGCAATGGGAAATTATCACGAACTGTGCACTTATTAAGGCTTCTGTAATCAACACATAATCTGATTTCACCGGTTTTTTTAAAAACTAATACAATTGGGGAGGCAAATGGTGAATTACTCGGACGTATTACGTTATCGTGTAACAACTCTTTAATAATTTTCTAAACTTTATCTCGTTCAAAATATGATAGCGGTCTAGGCTAAAAATGAAAAGGAGTATCACTTATTAGTTTTATACTCATTTTGCAAACAGGTTCAGCTAATTTCGTACTTAAAACATTTAAATAAATTTCACAGATCAACTTACAGCATTTTTCTCTATTCCCAATCCCGAATTCGCTACCAATACCTAGATTTGTATTCAACCCTGTTGTAACACCTGCACAAATAATAAAAGTCATTCATCCACTGCTCAATTTGGGTAATCTCGGTAGTAAATTGACCTTCCTTTATGCCAATGTTTATCTTATTGTCTATTGTATTATAGAACAGAGATGCACAAGTAGTTAAATAAAATTTATTATTATCAAATAATGACATTTTTCCATAGTCTGAGTTTCTTTGGATTAATTGTAATTGTAAAGCGTCAATAGCGTTTCTGCCAAGAATCATAGCAACAGGTAATACATCATCGTAAACAACAAAAACTTCAATTTCATAAACTTTCAAATTAAACTTAATATAGCATTTAACTGCGCCGCATAGCATAATATTTCTTCCATAAATTCCACGGTATTTACTCTCGAATGGGTTGGCTAATGTAACATCTTTTGGCAAATTTGTTTTGCTTACGAAGCTAACCGGGCTACCGGTATCAAAAAGAACATTAATTACTATAAATGCTGTGCATCTAAGTTCATTTATATTAAAACTTACTTAATGTTTACCAATTATATCAGCAACAGCTTGTTGATCTACCACACTCGCCACTGTCTGCTGCAGTATTCACACTTCGGGCAGCTACGGAATCAATGATCCACGCCTCCACAAGTAAAGCAACTATTCGGTTGACGCATGGGCTTGTTGCAATCCTTTATCATATGTCCCGGCTGACGACAATTGAAGCATTTCGTATCATGACCAACGTAAGAATTTGGCAGTAATAATCGGATTTGATCATACTCTATCAAACGGCGACGCAATTGATCAAGACTCCCGCAAAAATAAAGTGACGCAGTAATACAACTCGTGTCGTTTAATCCGTGTCGTGTCCTGCTTTTCGCGCAGTGTAGATGCCGGCTAGTCATCGAATATCCCAGGGAGGGGAACAACCAACAATGTTGTCTACGCAGCAAACACAACAAAATCAAAACGGAAATTCAAACTCGGACAACGGCAATCTTCACGACGGATTTTTTTGAACCTTATCGAGGTCGTGGAGTCCCTCACAACCATGAGTGCATGTACAATGTACATTGTACATTGTACATCCTTCAACATTCTTTTGGACACATCTCTTATTTCTGCCTTGTGGGTCGTGCTACCTCGCCTAAATCATCTCACCCCCAACACGATTTTCTGTTCACAAGAATTCATTTCATTTTCACATTATAATTCAAAATTTTCTCTTAAATTCTAACATTTAATAAGCCTACCTACGGTACAGAACTTTTACATGGAACACATATATATAAATAAATAAATAAATAACAATAAATAATAATTTCAATAGTTTTGGGTTGGTGTGAATAAAAAGGTTAAATAAATAAATAATTTGAATAGATATAAGTAGGAATAAATTAATTTGGGCGGGTTACATAATCAAAGATATCAGTCTCCATTTTTATACCCGTTACTCGTAGAGTAAAGGGGTATACTAGATTCGTCGGTAAGTATGTAACAGGCAGAAGGAAGCGTTTCCGACCCCATAAAGTATATATATTCTTGATCAGGATCACTAGCCGAGTCGATCTAGCCATGCCCGTCTGTCCGTATGAACGCTGAGATCTCGGAAACTATGAGAGTTACAATACTGGGATTAGGCACGCGGATTCCTGAGATTCCTGCGCAGCGCAAGTATGTTTCAGGAGAGTGCCACGCCCACTCTAACGCCCACAAACCGCCCAAAACTGTGGCTCCTACAGTTTTGATGCTAGAATAAAAATTTTAATTGAAATGTAATGTTCTCATCAATACCTATCGATTGACCAAAAAAAAGTTTGCCACGCCCACTTTAACGCCCACAAACCGCGAAAACCTGTGACGCCCACAATTTTCATGCTATATAAAAAATTTCAAATTTCCTGATCCAGGCTTATCCCTCACGGAATATTTAACAAATGTTTATATTTTAACTCCACTCACGTCAACAAGTATTTTTTTATCACTCACTGGGTAAAAACTTGACTTCTTCTAATATTATTTTTTTTTTTCAACAGAACCGTCTGCGACCAATTATTTTTGCCCTTTAATCACTCTTGCTTGTTTCACTTTTCCAAGCCTCTCTTCGCCAAAAACCACTCAAACTTATCTAAGGAACCAGTTCCATGATTTGACTAAGCTGCACGACTCGCTGAACTCACGAGTCGTCGATAGTCGTGTATCGATTTTTCGCCTATCGTTATCTGTCTTAATGTAAACAGCTTTGTTAAGTTCATAGTTTGTGCATATTTTTGTCGTTTAGCACATAACAAGCACAGTACGGTTTCGATGCTCGTCTCGGAACAGGAGTGGAGGATGTGCATATGCTGCTGGTTGTACTGCTCAACGTAGGCCACCGCCCACAACCCTGAGATTAATGTCTGGAGTGTGATTTGCTAGCCGGGCACTATTGTTTCAGGTCCTTTGCATGAAAAACTCCCAAAGAATTGCCGCGCAAGTTTTCTAAAGAGTACAAATAGTTTCCCAACGCTTTTGTGACTCGACATTTAGTTTACTTTCTGCAAAACTTGGAATTCCTATTCATGCTGAAGTCACTTAGGACAAAGTTTCTCTTTTATATTTCTTGTCCCGGTGAGTATCGAATTTCTCGGGCCTTTAAGTTGTAACGCTTCGCTGCTTTCTCGTAGGCCTGATGTATCCTTTCTTTTATTTTCTCTCTGGATAGCTGTTGTCGGTCCGACCTGGGCAATTGGGCTATCTCAGCTTCATTCAGGGCATTCAAATTACGAGCCAGCGAGTAATCTTTCCCATTCGTAAACATGTTCTGTCCGAACATGGCAAAATACGGCGAAGTTCCGGTGCTGCTATGGATGGATGACCTCAGCGACGCTTGTATGTCCGCTAAGTGTTCATCCCATCGCGTGTGGTCATCCTGGATGTTTACTCGAATCGCTGCTAACACGGATTGGCTTACTCTATCCGAAGCATTGAATTGTGGTGCCTATCTCCCTACCTTCATGTGTGTAATCCCATATTCTTGCAGCATACTTTCGAATTCCTTGGAGATAAACTGTCTTCCGTTGTCCGTGTGGATTGTTTCCGGAACTCCGAATTGGGTGAATATTCCTTCTTGTAGGAATCGGATTACAGCTGTCGATGTTGCCTTCGGCATCGCTTTTAGCCACACAAACTTGGTTAAGTGATCCAACGCGATAAATAGCATGGTATTTCCTCGGCGAGACCGTGGATACTTTCCTAAGAAATCCAGGTACAACTTTTGAATGGGTCGATCTGTCCGTACTTCCTTACCAATCTCTGGTCGCTTTATCTGCGTTGTGTGCTTGTTCTCTTTACAGTTTTCGCATGCTGCTACAAAGTCTCGGACTTGAATAACCATTTTGAGCCAGTAATACGTATGCGAAAGTCTCGCTAAGGTCTTTGCCATACCGCCATGCAATGCCATGTCGCTGCAGTGGGCTTGCTGGATTAGAGTTGTCGTCCACAGTTTCCATTCAAATTCATCACTTTCCTCTCTATTAAAGTGTGTCTTCTTGAATAGAAGTCCTTCTTCCACACGTAAGTCCGGAAACTTATCTCTTCCATGCTCTTCAATCAACTGCATTCTTTCCAGGTATTCAGGACTCTCAAACTCCGTTGTCTCAAAATCGAAGAACTCTACTTCGGTGGCTTCATTCGGCCGAGATAGCATGTCGGCCACGATGTTGTCTTTCCCTTTCCGATGCTCTATGTTGAAGTCGAATGCCTGTAATGCTAAAAACCACCGCGACAGCCTCCCGTTCAAATCCTTTAGCGTCATAAGCCATTGCAGACTTGCATGGTCGGTAACGATCGTGAACGGCATCAACTTCACATAGGGACGGAACCTTTCCTCGGCTTTTACTGCTGCGAGACACTCTTTTTCCGTTACGCTGTAATTAAGTTGTGCTCCTCTCAGCTTCGCCGAAAAGAATGCTATTGGCCGGTCCGATCCTTCTACGTCTTTCTGATATAATACTGCCCCAATTCCTACATGGCTGGCGTCACACTGTATCCAGAAGTGTTTTCCAAAGTCTGGATGAGCTAATACCGGCGCACAGGTAAGTGCTTTCTTCAGCGTTTCGAATGCCGTAGTTGCTTCCTCCGTCCACGTAAATTTTGTTTTATTTTTTAGGCAGTCCGTAAGCGGCGCACTTACACCGGAGAAATTTTGGATAAATCTGCGATAGCAGCCTGCGGTTCCTAAGAAGCTGCGTAGTTGTCGCGTATTTTTGGGCACTCTATCTTCATAATCGCCTCCACTTTCTTCGGATCTGTCAGCAAGGCCCCATCACCGATGATGAATCCCAAATATCGCAAGTATTTAAAACAAAATTTTGACTTGTGTAGGCCGATCGTCAAATTTGCTTTATTTAAACACTCTGCCACTTCTTTCAGCAACATGCAGTGTTCTTCGAAAGTCTTGGATATCATCAGCAAGTCATCCAAGTATACAAAGACGCGGCTGCGAAGACGCTGTGGGATTACCTTCTCGATTACCCTACACAACCTTTGAGCCGAATTACATAATCCAAATGGCATCCGTCGATACTGATATAGTGGCCTTCCAGGTATTGTGAAAGCGGTCAAGGGACGACTTTTCTCATCGAGTTCCACTTGCCAGAACGCCTGTTTCAAATCAATACTGCTGATGAAAATCGTCTCATCCACCCGGCTTAAAATCGACAAAATGTTCTTCAGTTTTCTCGCGTCTAAGCACAGCCTATTCTTTCCAGGTTTCTGTACCAGCGTCGTTCCAGGGACTTTCACTTAACTCGATGACTCCTAACCGTAGCATTTTATCCACTTCTGCGAACAGCAGCTGTTGTTTTGCCGGGGACACTGGAAAAAATCTCTCATTGACGAGTACAGCTCCTTCAACTAACTGGATCGAGTGTTCTACCATGGTAAGTCCTACTCCTTGACTTTCGTATGTCAGAAAACGTCCTTTTGCTTTTTCCAGTTGCTCAGTCTGTTCGGGGGATAGAATATGTGCCTCTATAGGTTCTCCTTTGGCCATAAATTCGGATTCCACCCGGTGTAAAAATTCTACACCCACCACCTCTGGTGCCAATTCGAATTTTCTCCAGATATCTATACCCAGGTATAATTTTTGTTTCAAGGAAGGACAAAGGAGTATCGGCAATCGATGTGTTAACCCATTATACGAGATGTTGGGTTGACTCTTCCCCACTACTCGATGCTGCGTACCTCCTGCTGATTTCATTATCGATTGTGATCTCTCTAATCTCACTCCTAACCTTTCCACTGTTTCTAATCAACCTTCCCCAAGCAAGCTTACTGATGCCCTGGAATCCAAAAGATCCACGACCTCCAGGTCTTCGATCTTGACCTGTGCGAATGGTCTATTGTCGCCTTCCACCGCAGCTCTGATGGCCGAACAAATCATCCTTTTTTCTGCCTTCCGCTGCTGACTTCTCCTACGGGCTCTGGCAATTTTTGGCGAAATGTTCCGGTCCGGATCATGTTTCCCAAATATTCGGTTCCTGACCTCTTGGTAATGTGCTTCCCGGACTGCTATAGGTTCACGTTTCGACCATTTATTGGTTTATTCATATTTATCAGTATCTTACTCATTTTATTCTCCTCTCTTCGCCAAAAACCACTTAAACTTTTAGGATTAAAACCTTGGTTCATTTGGGAGTTATCCAGTCTAAGGAACCAGTTCCATGATTTGACTAAGCTGCACGACTCCCTGAACTCACGAGTCGTCGATAGTCGTGTATCGATTTTTCGCCTATCGTTATCTGTCTTAATGTAAACAGCTTTGTTAAATTCAAAACTTGTGCATATTTTTGTCGTTTAGCACATAACGTCTGCCAATAATGTGCTTAATTAAATCACGATCTTCCAACTCAGCTTGACGTGCAATACTGCAAAGCGACGAAGTAACTTTTTGCTGGTCCAATAAGAAGACGCCTCGCATACAACCAATAGCGATTGAGTGGTACTCCCAACACTGCACATGCAGTTTCAAACTCTTCAATCCATAATTTGACAGGAATGCTATCCTCTCCCGAAAAGGGCTCCACTACCGCCATTATATCTGCGATATCGACCCGTGAAAAATATGCCGCCATTTTTGTACCAGCTTGGTTCCGTTCCATGTTGCAAGCGTTCCCTGACAAACATCAGCCAGATCCTCTCGAAACGTGCGCTCATCCAGTCCAATCTGAGCCACGTGCTGCACAAGAGGTTCTGCATGGGCTATCTTGTCTTGTACGTCGGTGTCGCCTCCCGCAGCTTGATCTTGAGACACGATTTTGCTTATCTGGTGCCGAGAAACCATGCTGCCGCAAACAGCCCGATCTTGCAAAACAATGTTTTTTGCAGCTGCCTGACCATGTTCGTCATCCGGGCCAGCCTCATGCTTGTCGCTCATTTTAAACAAAGTGTTTGCCGCAATGCGCAATTGGTGTATGGAAGCTCCGACGTCAAAATGCACTTCGTTGGCTCTCAATAGCTGTAATAACTCTTCCTTTGATTGCTTCAATAAATCAGAATACAACATGGGTATTATATATGAGAGCTATGGGCAGTCACCCCACACCTGAATTTGTAAATGATGCTTGTTCGGAGCAGATCGCCAGCGCATAGGTGTACGACGGCACCTGCAGCGCTCTCTGCTTATCTTTGTCGCCTTCTTTCTTATACCATTAAAGCTGTCGCTTATCTATTCAGCAACTACTTTGTAAGCCTGCAAATGTTTATATGAAGTTCTTGGAGCCGAGCTTTTACACAGTCCGTCTGCCGCTCCGAATAAACGCTATACATTTTAATATAACCTATTCGTGCGTTATTAATTATAAATATATTGTGGCATATTTGTTGTCTTCCCCACAAACAATGCTTTTTAATTTAATGATTTTATTTCATCTCTTTTAATGTTCCGTCGTGAGATCCTGGCCTTCCTTTTTTCTGGCCTCTGCCTTATGATAGAATGGCCCACAATAGTCTACTCCTGTGGTATGAAAAGATGGATTGGGCTGCACTCTATTTGCTGGCAGGCTACCCATGACGTGCTCACAAGTAACAGGCTTCATTCGGAAACATCGAGCGCATTTGTTGATAACGCTGGCGACGAACTTGCGGCCTCCAATCGGCCAGTACCTTTGTCGTAATGCGGCAAGCAGCGCCTGCGATCCTCCATGCAAATATTTCTCATGCTAATAAACGATGATCGCCTTGGTGACTGGATGATCCTTGGGCAACAGTATCGGATGCCTCGTATCGTAGTACAAGTTTGCGTTCTGAAGCCTTCCACCCACGCGAAGTAACCCATCGGAGCCGAGTATAGGCCTAAGCGAAACCAGCTTGCTTTTCTGTGGAAACGGCTTGCCCTGGCTAAGAGATCCATACTCCTTCGCCAAGTTAACCTGTTGGATGCTCCTCAAAAGAAGTACAGTTCCAGAGTTGATCTCTTCCACCGAAAGACGATCTCTTACCGGCGCAGATTTGGCTCTGCAATTTGAAATGAACCGATAAATGTATGCAAATACGCGCTGCAACTTATCGAAAGAGTTGAGGAATTTGCAGTATGATGAACTGTCTATGCAAACGGCCTCAATTTGAGCCACAGAACGGCGCTCTGGAAGATCCTTTACTGAGTCTAGCAGGGGCGGCCAATTCGCCGAGCTTTGCAGAAGGAATGGAGGCCCGTTAGCCCAAAGGGAATGTTCCAATGTGCCAAGTCATGTCTTTCGTCATATCCTGAATTTTCGCGATTCTGTTTGATACGAAAACGTTAAGCTCCCTCGGAGGTTGCCGAATCCATGCCAACACAATAGACGAGTCCGACCAGCAATGAAAGGTGTAATCGAAATCTATGGCTTCCTTGGCGTTTACGATTAGCTCAGCCAATAAAAGCGCTGCGGAAAGTTCTAGTCTTGGAATTGGTAAGGCCTTCAATGGAGCTACCTTAGACTTGGCACAGAGCAGATGGACTTTCGATTCTCCATTGGTCTCCGATAGCAAGTATAGACACGCTCCATAAGCTGACATGCTAGCATCGCAGAATCCATGCAACTCAACGGAAAATCTTGGTTTCAGTACGAATCGTGGAAATTTTATGTTCTGTATGACCGATAACAGTGAGGTCAACTCCCCCCATGACGAAAGAATGGGCTTTGGCAGTGCGTCATCCCAATCCACGTTCGCACTCCATAGAGATTGCAGATAAATCTTAGATTTTGTGAGTTATTAAACCGAGTGGATCATAGAATTTGGCATTCGTTGACAATGCAACCCGCTTAGTGGGTCGTTGATTGGTTGGCAGTTGAGAAAAATTAAATAGGAGTTGATCAGAAGATGGATCCCAGACTAGTCCAAATGCCTTGACGACACCCGACCCATCGTGAAATTTGATTAGCTGCTCCTTGTCGCATTCAGACTCTCCTTCCAGGGCTGCTGACTTATTCGAACACCATTTGCGGATTGGAAAATGGCCTCGCGACAGTAGTTCCTTTACCTGACGACGAATTTCTCTTACCTCCTCAACTGAGTCCCCACCAGATATTAAATCATCCACGTAGAAATCTCTACGAACAATTTGTGCTGCAATAGGAAATGATTCCTCCTCATCGTAAGAGAGTTGATGCATGACCCTTATAGCCAAGAAGGCAGCTGGCTTGATTCCATAAGTAACCGTGTTCAATTTAAAAACACTAAACTCTTCCGTGGAGCTCTCTCTCCAAACGATGCATTGCAAAAAGTCATCTGGGTACGAAACACGCACGCAACGGTACATCTTGCATATATCTCCACAAAGGGCAACTTTAAACAAGGAAGAACGCTATAGTCGAGTACCTCGACTATCAGATACCCGTTACTCAGCTAATGGGACCAAAGGGAAATAGAGATATGCAAGCAGCAAAGCGAGATTGAAATGCGCCACCTAACCGTGATCTCAATATATGGTTATGTGGGCGGTAGACAGATTTAAGCGTCATGCGCGTTAGAGTGGGCGTGGCAAACTTTTTTTTTTAATCAGTCGATAGGTATTGACGAGACCAGTACATTTTAGCAAAAATTTTTTATCTAGCATGCAAATTGTGGGCGCCACAGGTTTGGGCGGTTTGTGGGCGTTAGAGTGGCCGTGGCATATTCGCGTGACAAACTTGCGCTGCGTACAAATCTGAGACCCCATTTCTCTATCTTTGATAGTTTTCGAGATATCCGCGTTCATATTTACGTTTTTTTTAAGTTTGTGGGCGTTAAAGTGGGCGTGGCAAACTTTTTTTTGGGTCAATCGATAGGTATTAATGAGAACAATACATTTCAGCTAAAATTTTTATTCTAGCATCAAAACTGTAAGAGCCACAGTTTTGGGCGGTTTGTGAGCGTTAGAGTGGGCGTGGCACATTGCTGAAACAAACTTGCGCTGCGCAGGAATCTCAGGAATCTGCATGCCTAATCCCAGTATTGTAGCTTCTATAGTTTCCGAGATCTCAGCGTTCATACGGACAGACGGACAGGCGGTTAGACGGTCAGACGGTCAGACGGACAGACGGACATGGCTATATCGACTCGGCTAGTGATCCTGATCAAGAATATGTATACTGTATGGGGTCGGAAACGGTTCCTTCTGCCTGCATTTTAACATATAACCTCCTACGCTTGGAAATAACATTTTTTAATTAGTTCTGAATTTCGAATTTAACTTAATCAAAATCGGACGACTATATCATATAGCTGCCATAGGAACGATCGGAAAATTGGTAGGAAAATAACATGAAACATATTATAGCTTCGGTGTTTTTTGACATTTTAATCTTATACTATTGGGAATATAATTTTTTGTGTTTTTAAATTTAATAATAATAGCTGCAAGGGTATATAAGCTTCGGCTTGCCGAAGCCAACTTCCTTTCTTGTTTTTTTATAATTTGTTAGTGATTTTAATTTTGCTAAGTTTTACAGAAACTGTTTTTTATTTCAACTATCAAAGCTCATATATTGGCTATAATAGCACGGATTTTAATTTTCCATAGCTTAATAATGTTCTGGAACCTCTAGGAAAACATTTAACTTTATTATACCCGTTACTCGTAGATTAAAAGGGTATACTAGATTCGTCGGAAAGTATGTAACAGGCAGAAGGAAGCGTTTCCGACCCCATAAAAGTAGTAGGGAAGGACGGATTCTGGGACAATTAGCATATTAATGGCCCCCGGCCCCCCCTCCCCCCTCATTAACGTATGCGGGTTCTGGGACAATTAGCATAATCCAATAAATTAACTGATTTTAATGGGCTTTGAAGTCATAAAAATGTCACGATCATGTCTATAAAGAGTATACTTAATTGCCCCCATCGCCCCCACATCCCCATCAAACAATATTGATCATGTATCCTTCCCCTCATTATGTGCAATTAATAGTCAGGTGAAAAACGTGTACGTGAGAAAGGTCGCACAACCATAGTATCCAAAGGTTGTTATCTTAGAGGAACATATCCGATCATGTTGGGGAAAGGTGTGATCACGTACCCTTTTGCCTCATTATCACAGGTGTTGCTGTGCACGTGTGAAAGGTCGCACACCCAAAGTATTCAAAGGTGGTTATCTTAGAGGAACATGTCCCATCATGTTGGGGAATAATGTTTTCTATGATTGTAAAACTAATTTAGAAATCAAAAGAACCCCAATAAAATAAATCTCACAAGTTAATGATTCTCAGATGTGGAATATTTTCAAATACACATTTCTGTTTCCGCCCCAGAACGTTTAACTGGTAAATTGTCTAAGATTCTCTCCTTTCCACAAATGGGTCATAAACATGTCATAAAAGGGATTCAAGCAAGAGCTACCCGAACATGCGCACCTGTCAATTACCTGACCGCAATAAAAGGGACACATGCACAACCCAGAAGGCGCACGCTCATTGACAAGATCATGGGCCTCACGCCAACGACCTCATACGAGCTCATACGACGTTCCCATAATAGGGGTTGAAATCACGACCGCGCAACAACTCGCAAGTAGCCGACATATTTCAGTCAAGGAAATATTTTCCATTCTCCGTACCTGTAATTTTAACTCGAAATAAAAAGTCAGAAGTTTATTTTAGTACTGTGAACATGTTTTATTATGTTATTTAATCATTTTCATTCTTTTTTCTAGATTATAGTATTTATTCATAATGTTGAGTGCTTCCCTTTTGTAATCCGAAATTCGATGGCATACACAAGTATCAACTCCCTCAGTGGCTGCATCATTGCTCCACACGCAGGTGTCCATATGATTTCCATGAATAGATGTTTTTATATTACCTCGTTCACATTCAAAGAGTTTTGATTGTATGAACTGGAGACGTACATAGTGTGCATTGAACAGAATTCCGTCAAATACATTCAAAAAGTTATTTATTTTAACTGAATTCATGTTGTCTATCTAAGTCAACAATCTCGTCTTACCCTTTTAAATATGCTTACACGATTTATAAGGAAATTTCTACAGGTTTTAATCTTCTTCTTTTACCCAAAAACATGCATTCTCGAAATTCAACAAATGAAAAATCTTTGATTTTTCCTCTTCTTTTACCCAAAAATGTGCATTCTCGAAATTCAACAAATGAAAATCTTTGTTTTTTCCCATTCCCATTCCCATTTTTTAAAGAAGAATACTCATATGAGTTTAAACGGATATAATGAAGAGACGAGGGAAATAATTGGACCACTTTTTCAATCGGAAGTGGAAAAGCCTCTTCATATCAATATGATGTTTTTGGAAGAAGGTGGAAATGGACATTACATGTACATTAAAAATATTTCAAGGTAAATTCTTTTATT